GGGTAGTGTCGGATTGTTACCGACTAAAACCTCCACAATGGCCGTCCTCCGCACGTTGGGAGAGCTCCGGGAGACCTTTTCATACACACAGAGCTCTCCCATGCTGTTGTCCTAAAGGACAATGTCTCGAACCCTGGATTAAGAATCTGATGCTCTATCGACTGAGCTATCCCCACCTCACAACAATGCAGAAGCTTAATATAACATAAAATTATCTTTATTTTTACAAAGATCGAGGAGGAAGCACACGAAGAAGAACACTTCGAGTTGTCAGAGGATCCTTTCGTCGAGGAACCAGAAGGAGCAGAAAATAGACCCGTAACTGGTGGGAACGCGGTCGAAGAATCGCCAAAAATCGAAGAAGTAACTTCTGGCGGGGAAGAGAGTTTCGAATGGGGTGACGAAAACGCTTAAAAGTTCCTCAGAAATCGCATCACTTACAATCGTTGAATACATACATGCAATCATTATCGCGTTCTAACTATATTACCATTACATCTCATTAAATCGAGAAGAATGATTCGCCAATTACGAATGTCGTCAAACATCGTTCAGTTGAAATTATTTCAAGCCTTTTCTTTCTTTATCAGCTTCAAACCATTGCGCATCTATTGTTAATGTTACATAATTCGTACATACACGTACGTATTTGTTGCTATCGGGATAAAACCCCTTAATCGAGGGCATCGATTTTGTTCGTTGGTTTGCCGATAGCAAAGATTTTTACGGGTTAATACGTTGACTACCATAATGGCCATCAGTGACGTTTCTACGAACAATTCAAAATAATTCAAATTTAAATTCTATAGAACGAAAAATACGCTTTCGTTACGCATTAACATTTTCTAATCATTTCTAATTTATAATATTTTAGTCTTATCGCATTAAAATATCTTCCAATTTTCTAATTCAATATTCCGTCCCATAGAGGCGAAGCGTATAAATCTCGCGTGGCAGTTAACGTGTTGAATTAAACCGTATCAAAATGATCCTCGCAATGAACGACTGCACTCATTTAACATCACGTCGATTGTTAAGCGATTTTATATGACATTCTTTCGTAGTTCTATTATAGATTAGGAATAGAGCTGTGCAAATTGAGCGCCAAAAATGTGAGAAAAAAAAAAAAAAAAA